CACTTGAACCCCTTCTGATCCACTGTGTCTGACCCTGCCACAGGTTCCAAAACCGCTTGCTCCCGGCTGCAGCACCAAACCCCTTACAGTCGTTCCTTGGATTGGCACAGCGGTCGTCCATGCTTCTCGGGGAATCCTGATTTCTTGAGCACTACTCCCCCCCCTAAGTTACGGAAGTCCACATCTAACGCTCACCCACTCCTTCTTGAGCACGCTCCCCCACTCCCACGCATAAGCCTCAGCATTCAAATCACACCTCTTCTCCACCTTCAATAGCCTTTGACAGGAAAGGCGCAAGGGGCCGATCTGGCCCGTGACAGCGGGTGTAGGAAAGAGAAATGGAATGAGCGATTTCTGATTTCTGTCGTTTGGAACGTCGGCTGAAGTTAGTTTGGAAAGTTGCATCTAGGGTCTGTTCCTTTTCTATCTGCATGATTGCCGGGAGGATTTAAAATGAAAAAGTGGCATGGGAATGAGACATTTGGGTTGTTTTGGACAGATGACGGTGATACAGGGACATAGGTGTAACAGCCTGCTGCTAACCAGGGTGTTGGGCAGTGTAGACCTTCTGTTCAGCCTTACAGAGTGAGAGGTTCACAGCCAGTGAGCTGACAGCCGTGGAGCCTGGGATTCGGAACAGCTGCTCATGTGCGCTATCACATGGCCCGGGGTGTGTGTAGCCTTTTGTCTCATGTGACTCTTCCGGGTTCCTGCAGATTACAGCCTGTGGAATTCTCCAAGCCAGCACAATGCAGGTTCAGTGTCCAAGGCTGTCTGTGGCCAAACTTCCTGGAGGCACACTGGTTTGTTTGTTTTTCTACCGCGAGGTCAGGCGATGAAGAGGGCCGCCCCCTCAGGCATTCGAGAGTTAAACTTCTACCTTTTCTCTGAAAGGGTTATTTAAAGAGAGCAGGGGGATCCAGTTGGAACTGGTGTTTCCCGCTTGCGGAATCTGGAAAACCGAGGTACAGGGCGTCTCTGGTCCCAGTAGTCTCGCATACCTGTGTGACTGAGTGATGCCCATGACGTGTGTGATGATGGGGTGGCTGCTGGGTTTTTTTTAGTTACATTTTGTGCTGTAAAACGTGGGATTTCCAGCTGGTTGTTTTTCCCCGCATCCGATTGGGAATCGCTGGTGGGGAGTCTTCCACGTCTCAAGTGTGCAGCGCCGAACCCACGACCGCACACGGGAGAAGGAGGAAGCGCAGGCCGACTCCTGCGACCGTGCCCACCCTCGAGACCCTCGTTTGTTAACACCTCTCGGGCAACCCAGGCCCCTGCCGGAGGATCGCTCTTGTGTGGAAGAGAGGCACCGAGAAAAACCCGGTGAATGAACCCACCATACCCCTCGAACCTGTGATCTCAGAGCTCGTTCTGCTCTTGGGCTCCAATCGTGTTATTTTGTAACGGTTTCGTGCCTTAAAAATCTTTTGATGGTACAGTAGCTGCCTCCTGCCCAGGATTCGAACCTGCAACCCCCAAGCAGTCCAGAACCGCTAATCCACATTGCAACATCAGCACAGTTACTCTTCAAGATCTTCGTCAGGCGTTTCAGACACGTACTGTTTGGCCACTGTTTCCTGGTACTACACCCAGAGTGTGTGCCAGACCTTGTAGCGCCACCTCTGTCAGTGAGCAGCGTGCCCAGCTTGCTCAGCCTCGTGGATAGGCAAGAGCACTCCCTTTCCTGCAGTTCGGAAAGCTGCCCCCTGTATTGGTCGCTTTGAAGCGTGGCGTGCTTTCTGAACCTCAACCCCTCCCCCCCCGCCCCCCACTCGCACCCGTTCGTTATTCGTCCTTGTGAATATTTCATCATGGCATCAACGCAGAGGCCCTGTTCCTCTGCCAGCCGGTTTCATGAATGAAACATCAAAGTGGTTTTAGAAGCGTCGGACTGGAAGTCCACAGAGTGACGCCTCTCTCATCGCCCAGGACTTGAAGCCTGCCATCACTTTAATGAGAGAGGAGTAATCTGTTCCAGTTAGCGCTGGCAGTCAAGCTGGGCTCTGGGCTAGTAGGAAACGCACTCCTGTTCCGATCTCCTCTCACGTGCTTCAAGTTCAAATGTTGCACAGCTGACTGGCGGGAATTCTTTAAAAGTGCCTCTTTCCCTTCCACAGGCTCGGATTTCTTCTGCACGGAAAAGGCAAGGGGGGATTATTTTAAGATCACGGCATTGGCTCCAATCTGTGCAGTCGGGTTGCTAATTTGAAAGCGGCATTTTATTTGAACTTTAAATCGAGAGTTTCCTCCTCATGTTTTGTCGTCGGCTTTACGCCATAAATCTGTGCCGGCCCAGGCATCGATCGGCAAGAAATATTTTTGCGCATCAGTGGGCTCTCATTCTCCTTAGTTTGGTTTTTTAAATCGGTTTTAAGGAGTCCTAAGCTCCTCGGCTCGGTATGCGTTTTAAACGTGGCACACAATTTCCCCACTTCTCCTGACAGATGAAGTCTGCTGTGCGTGTTTTTATTTTGCGGTGTCCTTTTGTAGCCGTGGAGAAAAAAAACAAAACAATGCGAGAATCGAAATCGGCACTTTGAGAAAAGCAAGAATGATGGACAGATGAGAGAGTGAGGGAGATGAGTGAGGTGAACTGTGTAAGCAGGGGGCAGGGCAGAGGAGTGAGGGCCCTTTTAAGTGAAATAAAAAAAACCCAGAAGACATCAAGGAACGTTTGTATTGTGACCTTCAAACAGAACAGAATAAAGCTTAAGGGGAGGGAGAAAGCCCTTTATGCATTATAGATTGTATTGCGGCCTTGCTCGGATTTGCTTCAGCTCGTTTCCAGTAATAAAACCGTGTAATTGTGGAAATAAATCCTGGGAGAGATGGGGGAGGAAAAGGACAAAAACATAAAAGGCAACGGCCCAGAAAAAAAGCCACCTAGCCGGGCCTGCTGAGCTGTTGCGCTCCTGGCTGGCTGAGCAGGGCTGCCGGACCCCTGGCCTCCACCTGGCCCGCGAGCCTCCTCTGCCCTCTTGCAGCCCCACGTTGTGAGCCTGCGAAGAGGCGCTGTATGAAATGAAGGCCAAATCATCAGTCGGGCTGGCTTATTCCCTGGAAACAGCCCAGGGTCCAAGGGTTTCCCGACTTCTCGTGCCCTTTACACCCTGTGCGGTTGCGTCACTTGGATAAACGGTCTCTGTTCCGTTTAGCTGCGGCCACCTCGGGTTCTGACGAGTTCCTGACGTTTCTGGCCGAGAAGTCTGCTTGTTGGCTATAGATAAGTGCCGCAGGGCCGCACCGCGGAGGGCGAAAACAGAGGGTGCTCGTTTGGAGAAACATGCTTGATCTTTTCTAGATCAAGCTTTGTGTCTAGATTAGACTCAAACTTAAACTGCAACCTGATGTTTTATTTCTTCTCTTTTCTTTTTTTGCAGTGAGGGTGTGTTTAAATGCCCAGAAGACCAGTTGCCTCTGGACTATGCAAAGGTAAGGCTGTAATAGCAGTGTCTTCGGGACCTTTAGACTGGGGATCCTGCCGTTTGGGAGAGGGCAGGTGCTTGTGGGTATCTGCTGGCGTTTGTGGGTATCTCTCAAGCCAGCAGTTTGGGCATTCTCAAAGCTGACAAAACAGCTTACTTTTGTAGGCTTGTTCACTATTTCCAAAGGAAGTGTTGCGGACTACTATAATAGAGAGAGCAGGTAAATGAAGGGCCTGTGGTCATTAATACATTACAGCAATGCACAGAGAATTTAGCAGCCATTAAGAGATGGTGGCAGTGATTTCAAGGCTATCCACACCGTTCATTAAGAGACTCACCCAAGCAGCCAAGTTAAGGGGAGACGAGCTTTCCGTTTTAAAATGTCGGAAGAAGAGCCTAGCTTTACTTCATGCTGAAGTTGAAGATGCTTCTTCAGAAATTCGGTTCGCCCCACACTGAAGATTGGGATAAAAAAATCAGGCTCTGAGCCATCCAACACCATTTCTTTCAATTGCAGAAGTGAATGGCCACAAGAGATTTAATTTTCTTGGACTGTAAAACCTGACAGGAAGAGAAGCTGGCTGCCTGGCGAACTAAAGACTTCGTTTTTTGCGGGTTCACCTGTCTTTTCACGGCACGGGGCGTTCCGCCATCGCCGGAGAGCCAAGCAGCCTTTTCTGCAAAAGCGAAGTCGAAATTATAGGCCGACATTACATGGGTTTTCCCAAGAGCTGTCTCTGCTGTCAGACAGGCTGTGCTGAGAATCTCTCCCCTCTGTCCCCTTCTCTCCCACTGCTAATGTCTTGGTGTCTCTTTTTTAAATGAATGATCTTTTCATCTGCAGACTCTCCGCCTGCAAAAGGCGGTATTTTTGCAGCAAGATTCAGCCTGGCAGCTGGAATCAAAGACTTCTCTAGTTTTCTAGGATTTCATTATAGTGGAGAAAGAATAACACAAGGGCATTAGGCTTATCTGCTTACAATAATTTGGCTGCCTTTTCAAGACACTATTCTGGAACTAAAGCCTGCACGTTACTTTCTAAAATTATACATGGTTAATTATGATCGGTTCCTAAAAAGGAAATTCCAAATCCAAGTTGCTTTAATTAAACTTTTTGTTTTTGCAATATTTTATCCGCTTTCCAAACCTAGCCTCGAGTCCTCTGTGAGCTCGTAGTGAAAGAGGGGCATTTAAGTCGGATTGTTCTGACCAGGCCATGAGACCAGGCTTAATTCTGTATTCATCTCAACTTTCCTGTTCTGAGCAAGGGTCCAGGCTGAAAAAGTTCATTGAGATTTTAATCACTCTCCGCCTTCCATCTCTGTGAAAAGTCTCCCCTGTGTGACAACTCTTGTTCAATTTGTGATTCCAGCCAGAGCTGAACACGGCTAAAAATACAGACCGCACGACTGATCTTCAGTGTACGCTACAAAGATGATGATACATATTCAGCTGTCAGCTCCTTGTCATCATTTAATAGATTGTTACAAAATAAAAGTGTCCTATTCATGCAGGGGAACTTAAATTAGGGTTGGGCTGAGCTCAGGTGCTCCTGATTGCTATCAGAATAAATCCTGAACACGCAGCTGCGATTAAGCCAAGTCTCCAACTTGGAACAGCAGGCGCGTGTTGGGGTTATTTTCATTAAATTGCCACAGCTTGCCTTTCCCGTGGAGTTTGGGCAGGAGACTCTCCCACAGCGCAGGTGTCATTGTAACAGGCTCTGAAGCTGCGTGGAGACGTCTGAGCAGCTTAGTGCAACACTTGTTACCCTCTGGCCCTGCTCCTGTGCAACTGGAGGGTGTACTGCTGGAAATGCGCGGCGCCTGGGGGGGGGTTTGGTTCAGACCTTAAACTGGAAATTTCCTGAGGGCAGCTTTAAAAACTGTTGCCAAGTCAAAAGAACTAAAACTATGATGCAAGTTTTCCTGGAAACCTATTAAAACCGTCTTCATTCTCCACAACATACTAGTTCCAAGAGCGCAAGTGGAAAAGGGATTCTGGATCTGAGTGATCCAGTCGGCAGTGATCACTCTGCCATTGGAGTCCGTGGGGATTTGGTCCTGATTGGATAAATGGATTTGGCTCTTCCTGTTGCAGTGCAGTGCAGGCACATCTCCTGCTCTCCTCCGTCTCATCCTCTGGGTTCGTGCGGGGTCTCAGATACGTGTATTAAAACGATCTGACATGGGAGCTTCGAGCTATACGGACTGTTGCGGCGCTAGTCCGTGACAACATGTCCTTGTCTGACTCCCTGCTGCTTCGGGCCACGGAGAAGGTCTGACAGAGGTGGACAAGGTGACCCCGGCGTCTCCATCCAAGGCCTGTCTGGGGGAGCTCCACTGCCACGTGAGGCTTAGTGGTTCAGAAATGCTGGTTTCTGTCAGCAGCCCTTGCGATGTGCCGTTTCATGAGCAGGAAAGAAGCTATTCTGTTACTGTCAAGCTGGAAAAAGCTGCTTCTCATGAGATGTTTCTACTTTAAAAAAACAAACATATTCCACACCTCCGGGTTTCTGTGTGCCCAGGGCTCTCCCTGCAGAAATTCCCCAAAGGTGCATTAGGGTTTAGGGAGTAAAATGGCGACTGCAACACAGCTGGGATTGTCTGATGGCAGTTCTGCTGCTCTCTCCTCCAGATCTACCCTGACCCTGACCTGGAGCAGCAGATTCTGTCTCTGTCCATCCGCTGCATCCACAGCGAGGAGGGCTGCCGCTGGACTGGGCAGATGAAGCAGCTACAGGTGAGAGAGAGGCCAGCGGTCAGCACGACGTACTGCTCCTCACTGTGCATGACCGAGCTCTTGCATCGTAACCGGCATCCTATTGCACTTGCATGCCTATTGCAATTGAGACACAGCTTGCTTAATTGTTGCATCGTGTTGCTGGATGGAGTTCTCAGTGTTTGACCCCCAGCACCTCCCATCTTGAGCGCTCCGGTTGACTAATTGTCTCTTAGCCGACCCTATTGACATATCGAGGGATCTGTTGCTGACCAGCCTCTCCGCTCCCCGTCTGTCCAGAGTCATTTCTCCACCTGCGCGTTCAACGTGATCCCCTGCCCAAACCGCTGCGCCATCAAGCTGACCAGGAGGGACCTGCCGGACCACCTCCAGCACGACTGCCCCAAGCGCAAGGTCAAGTGCGAGTTCTGCGGGAATGAGTTCACCGGGGAGGCCTACGAGGTGAGAACTGGGGATCGCAAAGCTCAGGTCACTGTAGTGATATGCATCATGAACGTGGAAGCTGATAATGCTGGTAATCAATCTGCAAAAGTATATGTAGGGACATGGGAAGGACTGGTGCATGTGTCCACAGGAATAGGGCAGAGGTGTGAGCTGTGCAAGCGACACAATGAGGTGAGCAGATCTTTCCCAGTACAGAGTTACCGTTCCTTTTCTACTCTGATGGGAGAGTTGTTGAATCTTGCCCAGAATAAAAGCAGAACAGTCACCTCTTCGGAAACCATGCGGCTGTGCTTTCATTCAGATCCGAGGAGCCACAGGTGCCAGCTTTGATCTCTGAGGTCCACAGACCTGCAGGTTTTTAAACCCTTAACTGCTGAAGACCATAGGGGTGCTCCAGCTCAATGAGACAAGAGTCCTGGTAAAGTATAGACCTATGATGGGCTGGAACTGCGCTCCTGTGCCCCAGACCTACTCTGGGGACCTACTAAGGGATGTGGCTGTTAGAATATTGAATTTGACTTGTGAATTAATTAATGAGGGTTGCAGAGTGGCTCTGTTCAGAGGTGTCTGTACATCTGCTGTGCTGTAGTGAGAGGGGCTGATAAATGTCTTACTGGGCCAGTGGTCAGTAGGTCTCAGCCCTGCTGGGGAAACTCGCTGACCAGCAAATATCGCTCTGTCACGCTCCTCTCTTGAATGAAAGGCCTCCCTTGTGATGGATTCAAGCCTCAGGAAGCCCAGCATTTGCACTTCTTTCTTATTTTTTTTTTTCCTAGGAAAGAGGGTGGTGTTTTTTTTTAAAAAACAGGGCTGCTCTTGTACACCTGGAAACAAAGCCTGGGATTGTGGCCCCAGAGCAGTTTCGGGACACTCAGTCTAGTTGTGAACTGATCCCCAGCCACATTTACGCCTCCCTTAACATATTTTCTCAGACTGTATTTTTAGCCGAAAGTTAGTTTACGTTTAATGAACTCTTGTTTTCTTTTAAAATTCCCTTTTATACCCAACGTTGTTTTGAAAGAAAGCAAACTGCCTGTCAGCTCTGTGCCGTTTGGTCTTTTCCCTGCCAAAACTCTGGTAGTCGCTCTCCCCAAAAGCCACAGAGTACGGTATATATCTAGATATGAGAAACGGGCTAAAAACATGGCCATCTGTGTTCCAGCGGAGACTTAACCTGCTGTGTGAGCTCTTGTTCTCAGCGGTTGGTTTCAGGAATTCTGCTTTTTTTTTATTTGCTAACTGAACTGCACACGACAGCTACTGGCAACGGCAGCACCTGAACACGAGAAAGGGCTTTCGCCAAGTTAGCCAGCTCACCAGTGAATAGATCATCAATATAAGAATCCCATCAGCAGCGTCTTGGAAGACGTTAGGTTATCAAGTTTAACGCTTTTCCAGTACAATATACATTCCATACTGGACAATATATTCCAGTACTGGATAATGTTTTCCAGTACAAATACACCAAACCCCTTTAGAAATTCATGCCTATCAGCTGCAGGATGGCGGCCTACGAAGATGCACAGTTGGTTTTTTTGCACTTTTATTTCTGCAAGGGAGGGTATCTCGGGGGCGCCGACTTGTGAGGGGGGGGTGTGGGTGGCTCTGGAGGGTGCCAGGCTCGGGCGTGACCCCCTTTTTGTCCCCCTCTCTCCTCCAGAACCACCAGGGCATCTGCCCGCAGGAGAGTGTGTACTGCGAGAACAAGTGTGGGGCGCGCATGATGCGCAGGCTGCTGTCCCAGCACAGCCTGGCCGAGTGCCCCAAGCGCACCCAGCCCTGCAAGTACTGCGGCAAGGAGTTCGTCTACGACACCATCCAGGTCAGCAAGAGCCTGACAAAAGGAAGTTAACTCGTGTGCAAGGGCAACCGAATTGTTCATCATCTAGTACACGGTCTGTGCTAATAGCACATCGCAGCCCTGCACTTTGTAACAGTGGAGCAATGGCTCAATAGGGGAATATATATATATATTCAAAGCAAAATCAGTCTTCAATATAACTGTGACCCTGTTATGCTTCCGAAGCTTACCCACCATGGTTCCTGATGGAAAATTTGCAAGAACCTTGTTAATTCATTCGACTCCCAAAGCAAAGCAGCAGGTGACCCATTGAACTGGTCTGAACAGACGACTGTCTTTTCTCCTCGCTGGCGCTGTGTTGAGCTCAGTGTAAGCGCCGTAGTGATCCACAGTGGCCTGACTCCGGCTGTATAATATGGACCTCCGGTCTCCTTCCTGCCTCACTGTGCAGCACTGTCACTGATGGGAAGGCTTGGGGGTTTTTTGTTCATTTATTTCTCCCAGCCTGGGATAAGGGAGCAGTGTCCCACCAGTCACTGTGTGAAAGCTTTTTCTTCCCAGCTCTTGCGGGAACACTCCCTCCCTGTGCCTGCCGCCCCCTGTGGGCACGGATGGCACGCCGCCCACTGGCACGTCAGAAAAAGCCGCATTCAGTGCCTCGCGCGCCGTGCCAGTCCGCCTGAGTTTGCCCTGGCTGGCGCGTTCTGATCAGCACCTGTGTGCACAGAATCGCAGCCAGTGTGGTCGCTGGTGCACGGAGATAGAGGTGGTCTCCACGGGGCTATGCAGCGTGACTGCAGGATTTCTGGGACTCTTTATTAAAGCAGGAGCACACTGATGAGCTGGGCTCAAAGCCGTTCATTCAGTCCAATTCAGGAAGTTGCCAGCTTGTTAAGAGATGAGTAGGATTGCAAACATGGGCCCCAGGATAGGATCCACTTCTGTTCTAAATGGACTTATTTAATCTGACATGTTTTACTTCATTAAAGGCTCCTTGAAGGTGTTTCCTGTTAAAAGACTGATGTTAACAGGAGTGGGAAATGTCTGTGTGATCTAAGGAGTATTGATGATCTTTTTATCCACCTTCAGAACCACCAGTACCATTGCCCTCGGTTTCCAGTGCAGTGCCCAAACCAGTGCAACGCCCTCAACGTGCCCCGCGAGGATCTGGCCAGCCATCTGAAGGAGAGCTGCGGCAGTGCCCTGGTACTGTGCCCGTTCAAGGACGCCGGCTGCAAGCACAGGGTCAGTCTCCGGCGCCAGGGCATCATTCCTCTTCCATCAGGAGATTGGTCCGCTTAGCTCTTGATTCGCTTAGCTGTGCCTGCATCTCGGCACCACTTTAAAAACTACAAACCCCTGCAGCGGAGCAGTAAGGAGTTTTCAAAAATGTGTTTGTTTTTTAGGGGAAAAAAGAATCTGTCGTCTTCTCCTGCGTGTGCTTTTATTTTTGTATGGTAGAAATGTTCATATTACACCTTTATTGTTGTTTTCAAACTTACAACAATTCCATTTTTCAAGCTCTTTTCATCCCACGCCAAGACACGTTGGTGCTGCCACTGGTCACGTCAAGTTCTCAGACCGTTTTACCCACAATGCTAGGGCTGCAGACCGATGGGGGCGTGCAGGTGCCCCACGATGCAGGGCAAGCCCTCACACTGGGCCTTTCTTTTGTCTCTGGCAGTGCCCCAAGGTGGCGATGGGTAGGCACCTGGAGGACACCAGTAAGGCCCACCTGACCCTGATGTGCAGCCTGGTGAGCCGGCAGAGGCAGGAGATCCAGGAGCTGCGGCGCGAGATGGAGGAGCTGTCGGTCAGCCACGACGGCGTGCTCATCTGGAAGATCTCCGACTACTCCCGCAAGCTGCAGGAGGCCAAGCTCAGGAACAACTACGAGTTCTTCAGCCCCCCCTTCTACACCCACAAGTACGGCTACAAGCTGCAGGTGTCGGCCTTCCTCAACGGTAACGGCAGTGGGGAGGGCACCCACCTCTCCATCTACATTCGGGTGCTGCCCGGCGAGTACGACAGCCTGCTGGAGTGGCCTTTCTCCTACAAGGTCACCTTCTCCATCCTGGACCAGAGCGACCCCTCGCTGTCCAAGCCCCAGCACATCACCGAGACCTTCAACCCCGACCCCAACTGGAAGAACTTCCAGAAGCCCGGCAGCTCCCGGAACTCTCTGGACGAGAGCACGCTGGGCTTCGGCTACCCCAAGTTCATCTCCCACGAGGAGATCAAGAAGAGGAACTACATCCGGGACAATGCCATCTTCCTCAAGGCTTCCATCGAAATTCCTCAGAAGATCATCGCTTAAGAGCCGCGCAGAGCTGGTCAGCCCAAACTCGGAAAATGAGGACTTGTCCCTCGAATTCTTCAAGTGTGGACGGTGGCTCTCCTGCACAGAGCTTGTCCAGCCCCTTCCCTAGAAGATACTGCAGCCCAAGAGGCTGGCTGTATCAGCTGCCAGGGCAGAACCCCAAGCAGAGTAACATCAGCCTTCCTCATAGCTGCCTCTTTGCCTAGAGGTGCTGTATGTGTGTGGTTCGCGACCACTGTAGGGGTTTTTCAATCTAGAATGGAAAACCTTGGTGATTCAGGAGTGCCTCTTCATTCTTTTAACTCTTTTCTACTGACCTGCCACAGAAAATGTCTGTGAGACATTGCTGAGGAGACACAAAACCCTCAGGAGAGGAGAGGAGGAGTGATTCACAAAAGCGCTAGTTGTGACCTAAACCTCCTCTGTTACTGAGCAGGGCTCTGTTCTGTTCCCCTGCTGGTGTGGTCTATTCAGGATGACCGCGGGATAGGCAGTAGTGTTAAGGTGCCAATGGAAGGCCACCTACAATCTCAATAAGAGTTCTGTTTGCAGATTTGAACTTTGAAACAGGTGGGACTGGTGCAGTGGAGCAGAAACAATTTCAGTAGAGAGAAACTCTTGCGACTGTGAATGGTTTAACAAATACTGGACAAATGCACAATACACATACACATTCCTTGCTTTGGTCTACATGGGGTCATGTCCAGTGTGACTTTCTGTAGACAGGGTGCCGCTTGGTTTTCCATCTTAGAATTCTGTGTTGTTTTTTCTTCTTCCCGGTGAACAGTTTCAATCAACGAATGAGATGTGAGATTTTGTGGACGTTTCGTTCCGTGTCCCGCAGCGGAAGAGAGGCTGGAGCGCGGCCGGCTGGCAGAAACGCCAGGCGACTGACCGCTGACAGCATCCAGTCTGCCTGGACGCCAGGAAAGGTCCAGGCGTTTCACATCTGATTCTTAGATAAGGGATTTAGCATATGTTTGCCAGCCCAGCTGCTAATGTACAGCCAGGTACTGTCACAAAGATCAGAGCTGATCCCAAAACTGAAAACTGGGGATGAAACGTGGGAAGGAGAAGCCATGGAACAGCATGAGGTTGTTCACATATCCAGATGTATTTTTTGTTGCTCTGCAGAACACAAAGCATCAGAAAGGAAATAAGCGATCATTGGAAGATATTGCACACACCACTTTTGTACTGTATCCTGCACTCTTGAAAATGACCGCTGGTCTCCAGGAAGGGGTGGGGAGGGGGGGGGCAGTGGGGAGGGGGAGGGGGACAAAACTAGCTGAGCCTGGAAACTCGTCATGTGACAAACTGTGAACAGTGGGCCCCTTGCGGGGCCACGGATACGGGTTTCTCCGGAAATCTGTTCTCTCTGTCGCTGAGGGACGGAGAGAGGGCTTTTGAACCGTGGTCGGGACTGTTGCAGATCTGAACTTTGAAACGGCTTGGACTGGTGCAGGTGCCAGCTGACGGGGTTAGATTCTGTAAACGTGCGAGCGTGGCATCTCGGCTGCGTCAGGGCCAGCAGCAAGGCATCCTGGGAGGAAGGGGTTGCTGGGACACGCTGTGAGTTGCTGACAAGAGGTAACAGCCTTGTGCAATACAGCTGTTAACACCAGAGCTATAGCATAAAGATCCACAGAAGCTCTTAATATATTATATATATGTATGCTAATGTATAAAAAAAGGATGAAAGCACATTTTCTGTACTTTTTATTCTTGACAAAATCCTCATTTAATCCGTTTCTACTACAGCGATTTTAAGAGAACTGACAATTTTTGTAACCATATTTTGCAAAAGCGATGTCAAGGGTTTATACAAGATGCCGTTTCGGGGTTTTTTTTTTTAAACGAAAAGGGGTTGGTGTTTTTGTAGGAGGGGCAGTGGTGGGGCAGCATGAGCGGTTTGAACCTTTTTAAGTTTCATTTAATTTGAACCTGTCAAATGTCAGTTTTATTTCTTCGTTTTTAATATCCTGTCTGTATTATTTCTCCTTGTGAAATTATTTATTGTGATGGCCATGCTGTCCTCCAGAACCAAGGGGGTGGCCAATGTGCTATGAACAGGTTGAATGATGGTTTCTTTTTTTGAAATAAAATATGATTCGTTTATCTGCTGTGCCCAGTGCCTGATCAATTCCTGCCAGGAGCCATGATGAATATGATTAGCCGTGGTGTAAATAATTGCATGCTGACCAGGTTTTCTGTGTAGAAATGTTAGTGTTGTGTGTTTATTTTATCCTTTCAGTTACTCGGCCAATGTGTACAATCCTTTCTCCAGTAAATATTTGCCGACTGCATTAGTGATGTTCTTTGTGAGCTGAGAGTGCCAGTGAATACGAAGAGGTTAAGCAGAAACTGGTGCTTCCTGTCAGTCTTGTCCAAGAAACCCGCTTTCTTTGTGGTTCAGCATGGCAGAAATCCCTTTTTCCTTTTTTATTAAAACCTTCACTAATCCGGTTTTCCTGCTTAATGAAACACTGCCGTGATGGGCAGGCACTAAGATGTAAAACTATTGAATGACACTTAAGCTGGTTGCCCTTTTTGTGCAAAATTTGCTCTGCTTCTTACAAGCCCAATGTGACTTTTCAAATCTTATGTTTCAGGAACTTCGGTTCCTCTTTGATTCACACCTGCTATTTTTCCCAGTTAGATTTGCGCTTTTGTTTTGGCAGAGGTTTCCAGTCACTATAGCATTGCATGTTGCCAGTCACCTGGGAACAGCGGCCTCTCCGATAAGTCCATTGCACTTTTACAGAACAGCCAGCCCTGGGGTCTCCAATCCTGGTCCAGGAAGGTCAGTGACTCCAGGTTTTCCAGGTAACTGTGAGGCACCAGCACCTGAAGGTTGGTGCTGAAGATTAAATTGGTTTTTGTTGAATGAAAACCAGAAAATACAGGCTCTCCAGAGTTGGATTTCCCACCCCTGAACCAGCACCCTAATTGCTGTAATGATTCATCTAATTGTTAAAGAATACAGGCACTCGTTGGTTTTAAATTGTGAGTGGAGGGAGCCAGGTGGATAGTCCTATTGTAGGTGGGAATTTCATTTCAGCTGAGCTTTTAATAAACAAATCGGCTTCTTATTGACTGGATTGGACTCATTTTGTGGCCGTCTTCCACCTCTTCAGTACTGATGCTTTCCAGAGAGAAACCCTGCAGAGGCAGTGGCACTGCAGCACCAGGAATGGGCACTCCTCCGTTAAGAGTGATGCATTTTTTAGCCATAGTGGTAAATTGTCACAATTCCTTCAGCAAACAACTCTCTTCCTCATTCCGAGTCAGCTCGGAGTTCAAAGAAGTGCTCAGGGTTGAAGCAGGCGACCTGCAGTTCCAGAGTCATTCCCAAGCCCCAGAGCTGTGAGAAGAGGCTTGTTTGTCCTTGTCAATAAACACTGGTTTCTGTCAAACCAAACCTGAATAGGCCTTTCTCAGGCCAGGCTTGAAGACAACCCCCCCTGATTACCAAGGAGCTACTCCACGTGCTCCCTCTTCCAGCTCCAAGTAAACACCCGCGTGCCCTGGGAGAGAGCTGGCCACTCTGCTGCGATCCACTGCCAGGCTGTTCACTTTAAGCCCCTTAAGATCCAGCAAGGAAGGTCAGAGCTGCTCATTCCGCTGGCCTTGCCCCTCAAGAGTCTCCACCTGCCTTTGCAGAGCCACATTAACCACACAGAGCAAACTGACAATAGCCACGGACCCGAATCCTAAGATTCAAGCAATTGACTATACAACCTGCAAAGACACAGTCTGTAAGAACTGATTGCATGGAACAATTCTAAGTATAGAATACCATTAGCACTTAAAATAAATATTGTTGGCTACGGGTCTCAATATACTCTGCTTCTTTGTGCAGCAACTGAAACCCAAGAAACTTATTTACATCATGACGTCTGATCTTCTTGATCTATAAGCTTCCTAAACCTTTGCATTCCACTTATCTGTCTTATTGAAAGTCTTACCATTTGCTAATGGTTTAAAGATTTGTTTAGAAAACCAAAGTGTAGATTGTCTAGAGTCTGTTTCATGTTGTTGTTTTTAAGGATTTGGGTAGGGGGTTGGTATGCTGGTTACGTTAGTAGGAGAGCAGTGTTTTTAGCACAGACTCACGTTTGCATCGGTTGGTAAAAACGTCAGAGTAATAATCAAAACCCCGCTGCCATAAATGTCTTATAGCCGCAGGCTCGAGTTTCCTGGCACAGGAGATTAAAACATCCCTGTCTTTAATACATCTGGGTTTCTCAAGCTTTAAAATAGCAACCTCTAATTGCACGTTGCTCCTTTTTTCCATGCACAATAAATACAGTACAAGTCACAGGGGACTCCAGTGTGAGTCAGGGAGGAGGGTCTTTTGTCTGATGAGCAACAGTCAGAACAATGTTTATTATCTGTTCAGGTAAACCACAGTCTGGGGCACTGCTTCACAGGTGTGTAGAGTGTGGCAATGGGTTTTTTCATTCAACAAAAAGAAAACACTGTCACTGACACGGTCTCCTATTGACTTGCTTTTTGCACTCAGCTGGTGCTGCATGGATTCTTTGTGTAGATGTTTAACAAGAGCCAAGGGCAGGTCATTCTACAGGTTGTGCAGCACAAAACTGCGGCAGAGATGTCGTACTAATAATCCATGACAAAGCAGAGTGAATTGAGCCCCAGAGAAAACTTGTGACGTTACTGTGCAAGTATGCTGGTTTAACCTTTCCCAAGACTGAAGGGCAACAGAAAAGAATGTGCTGGGTACCCAGTCAACTGGACCAGTTTACAGCAGAGCACCTGAGGTCACTGCAAAGCACCTGAAACTCAAACGGCAGAAATTCCAGCGCTAATGGAACGTCTCAACGGGACGTTCTTGGGTTGGTGTGGAGCTCATAGCTCAAGGAGCACATTAGCGTTTGCTCATAGGTATTGGATACGTTAGCCAGTTCTACAGTCTGTTGAGCTTAGCGGTCTATCCAATATCTGTGTACAAAGGGGCTGTGATTCAACCTATATCAAACTTGACCATGTAATGTTTGCCCTCTGATTTTGGACCCTTACTGTATAATATTTTGCTGATGTCTCTACCACTCGTTTGCCCTTTGCGGTGCTTCAACATTTATTTGCCATTTGTGTCAGCTCCAATTTGCTCTCAATGTGGTTTAATGAATTACTGCTGTGACTGCTACTCTCACCCTGGGGGAACTGCATACAGTTAGCAGGGCATACAGGTCCGACCCACCTCTCCCACCCCCGCCTACAAGAAGCAGGGCGTACAGGTGCGACACTCCGTAGGCTGTTGTGATCGAACTGTACAGGGCTGAGAATCAGAGCCTCAGAGCCAGCTGTGATCTGTCACACAGCGGCAGGCTGTGGATCCCTGCTGCAGCCCCAGGTCTGTCTCCCTCTGCTGAGCTCTGATCCGACACCTTTTTCACCAGCACGCAGAGTGAACGCTGAGCCTCCTCCTTGCAGAGCCACAGGAAGAATCTTGTTTCGTACCGATTGATTAAACTGAGAAAAATCGATGAGTGGCAACGTCTTTTCTGTAGGGATTAGAACAGTCCATTTTTATAGACTGTCACCACTGCCGGAATGTCTCAGTCAAGTGATCAAGTCCCATGTGGACGCTCCTAAATTGCCCTCTCGATGTGGACGTGCTTAGAATAAACCCAGCCTCCGCTGTGCTCATGTGCACCACTGTCATGTGCAGAGAGTCTAGTTTCGATCTCCTAGGTTAATCTGCTGGGCTCGGAGCCTTTCGCTGTGCCATGTGTGTGGGTGGAGAGGGCCAATAGGTTGGTTTTATGCAGAGGTAGCCACACACATCCCGATTTTAACGATTTTAACCTCTGCCTGTCAATCAGTTCACTTCTTTTCCAGCTTTTCACAAAACCCCCTGGTCTCCTGCTGCGGATCGTCAGTACAGACTGACTGAGGTCAGAGAGTGGGTGTGAGTATGGAGATGGAGGGGAATTCAGTCTTGGAGACCTGCATGAAGTGCAACACTATTGTAGTGGGCAACCTCTTAAAAAGGCTAGCCAATCCTGCCGGTCCTGTCAAACCATCAGCCAATAGCAATAGGGCTATAGGGTGAGGTGATGCAGCCAGATCCGTATTGCTCCAGTGACCAAAAACTGGCAACCAGCAAGCCCCGCAAATCCCAGTGCAGGATCCGCAAAAAGGGATTTTTTAACCATATCCCATTACTACTAATTAATTGCATTATTGGAGTGATCTTTATTCTAAAGGATCCCAAAGAGCTTCACATATAGGGGGAGCTCTGTCTCATCCCACTCTGAAGGTGACACCCAGCAGCTGTTGGCAGAGCAGTGAGAAACTTCTGGGGCAGTGGGATTAAGGGAGAATTTCAGGGAGGCCAGACTGTCCAAGCACTAAGTGGAATTTAGGAGTTAACACCCTTACTCTCCGGACTTCAGTGTCAGATCAGCAGCTCCCAAGGTACAGTGCCCCCTGGGGTACATCCTCGGGAACCGGATTGGAAATCCACTCCAGAGGGAAGAGCACCACCTACTGGTCCACCACTGTCATCTTCGTCTCAGAATGCTTTTGAAAATATGGCTAAAGGGAGTGGACTGTCAGAAAACAAATCCAGGCAGACGCAAAGTTAAAGCCCTGATAAAGCAAGGAACATTTCTCATCAACAAAACTATTAAATGCTTCTTCGGTGATTCGAATGAGTTTTGATCTAGGGCTCAGCTAGTGGCCGAGCAGGAGTACGTGTGATGCAGAGTGTCATTCTAGGGAAAAGCGGTTTGATGTTGTAAGCCATTGGAGCGCACTGAAGTAAAGCCTTTTACTTTCTCAAAAGCCACTTACGAGTTTAAATGAACTGGGAAAAACAACACAGTCTAAAGTTTAAACCAAAGTTTTAATGGACTGTTGTTCTTGGAATACCTAGGTGAGATTGTATCTCCAAGCACTTGCTAAGTTTTTACCTCTGAAAGATTAATGCTCCCGTTGTAAGCCGAGGTAATGATCCCACACACTGCGAACAGCGGGCACCTTCAGTATCAGAACCCCAAGAGTGCTCCCCCTCCCCCCCCCGCTGTCCAGGGTCCAAGGGGGTGGTGATGTCATCTTACCCAGGCTCAGCGCTGAACCCGAAAAGCAGGCT